AGACAACTTTCTTTGTTGATATTTGGTCTATCTCGATCATGGTTTTCACATTACGGGTTGGTAAATTTGGAGGTCTACATAGGACATGACCAAACGTCTCGCGTGGCCTTCTCTTTTTTTATCTATACATGCTACTTGCACCTTCTGGTGAATGTGATACATTTAATCTTGTATGACTGTGCATCCTTCCTAACATCTGCATTTCTATGACACTCATTTTGTGGAATGGCCTAATATTCACTCCTATGCAGCATTATTGGTTTTATAACTGTTCAATGGGCTTGCTTTGTATTTGGTAGGTCATATCATCTGACACTCTTGTAGCGCTTCTCGCCGTGCTATTTTGATTCTATGTAATGTTTTCATCTGTTATACCGTTGTATTGAAATACTAAGCCTAAAAATATAGATTGCCTGCATGAGACATCACAGTCTTATCTCATCTCATCTCAAATTTATTCTTTATATGCTAGCTAAACATATGGTTGATATATTCTGTTTTATTTCTACTTATCTTTAAATCTTTACGCCCTTGATTGCTTCTCCATAGTTCAAACTTTTGGTTGACACCATTACTAGTTTCGTCAGTTAACTCAGTATTGACTACAAATAACATGCACCAAGCCACACCCTATCTTGTATATTTTTAGTTGACTCATAATTATGGTAAATAAATATGGCCTAAAGGTAGATCCCCGGTGTAAACCTACTATTACGGGAAACTTCTTAGTATCTCTTCTCACTATTCTCACACTTGTGAATGGCCTTTTTTCATACATATCCTGTATGGTATTTATATATGTTATAGGAGCTCCTTTTTTCTCCAGTATACACCAAAGAACTTCTCTTGGCACTCTATCATACGTTTCTCTAGGTCAACTAATTTCATGTGGCGATCTTCCTTCCACTCCAATAAATCTCCATAAGCCTTTTAGTGAAAATATAGCCTTTATTGTAGATCTATCTGGCACAAATTTGGTTTCCAGTCACTTTGTAGTGGACCTAAATTGATGCACCAATTTCATTCTGTGTACCGTAAGTTTAAATACCGTGATAGTTTGACAGCCTTTACTGTGAAGGTAGATTAATGATTAAACATACTCATTATCTAATCATTTTTTTTTAAGATAAATAAATATTATTAAGACAAGTACCAAGATGGTACTGCAAAATACAAATTACAACAGTACAGAGATCGCCATATAGCAGTTAAGCACACTCATCTCAATGAATCTAAAAAGTCTCATTATCTAATCATGAAACAAAGAAAAATCTAATGCACATGCATTATGAAAATACTAGAGCTCCCAGTAGTTGGCTAATGTCTTACTTACAGTAAAAGTCCCTGTATGTATCTGTTTGGCTCCTTCTCCATAAAAAATCTTTTAATCAAATTCTTCAACTTGATTCTGATTTAGTAAAACTAGGCAAAGTGCTGAGAAATAAAAGAGAAGTGCTTTTGTGGCAGCCGTAAGAAAGAGTGGATAGGAGTGAAGAAAGCCTAATTTCTGAAAAGGATTATCAGACCATTAAGATGGTTGAAACTGGAATTTCATTGTTTGATTCTGTTATTCATTGCCATTTTGCCATATTTGCAGGTAACTTACTCCTCACAGAAGACAAGACAAAAGTTAAACTAGCTGACTTTGGGTTAGCTAGGGAGGAGGCAGACTCTGAAATGACAACAGAAGCTGGTGCATACCGCTGGATGGCTCCGGAGGTATAACATTGGACGAAAATGTTTACACCCTGCTTAATAATAGCGTGTATGCCTTACCCTTTACAAATGCCAGATGTTCAGCATTGACCCAATTAAAATTGGAGTGAAGAAATACTACAATCATAAAGTGGATGTCTACAGTTTCTCAATGGTTCTGTGGGAGCTTCTCACCAACAGCACTCCGTTTAAGGGACGAAGCAACATTATGGTGGCATATGCTACAGCTACGGTATGTGTTTTCTATTGATAATAGTTTACTCGTCTAACAAGTTTCCAGTGACCGGTAAATATGATATTTTCATTTCTTTAATAAATTCCAGAAATTGCGTCCTAGCATGGATAACATTCCGAGGGAGATAGAACCCCTTCTTAGCTCTTGCTGGGCAGAGGATCCAGCAGACCGACCAGAATTTGAGCAAATATCAGATTTCATCGCGAATATTCTTCGCAATGTGTGCACCTCGGAGACGACTTCTCCAAATCTGTTTGAGATGGAGAATCCCACAAGCAAAGAGTTGGTCAATTCTCCTGGCACAAATTATTTGATGGACAGGGATGCAGAAACTAGCAAGAAAAAAACAAGGAGTTCATGTTGTTGCTTCATGACTGCCTATGATGATTCTCTCTGATAGGTGGAGAGACTTTTTCTTAGGATATGGTTAGGTGTAAATAATTGATTGACTTCCCGTCTTTTTTCGCCAGTTTTATGATATATAGAACAGACTTCATTGTTCTCCAAATACACCATCATTGTAGACATTGTACAGAAAGCAAATAGAATGTTTAGAATAGAACAGAAATATGAAAGGAGCATGACTCAGGTCAAAGTTCATCAATCCACCATCTTTTGGTACAGATTTCCTTTGCATTTCTGCAATTCTATAAACCAGATATAGACATGTGCCAAGCAGGGGCGAAGCTATACTCTAGTAAGGGTGGTCAATTGACCAGCCTTCATCAGAAAATTATATTGCATATATAGGTACAAAATTAAGTTTAAAGGTATATAACAAGTATTGAAACACCTTTGGAAAAATTTCTGGCTTTATCACGGTGACAAGTAATGTGTAATGTGTTGTGCCAAGTCAAATTTAAGGTCGACAAATGATGTCAAGTGACTGGGTGTGCCAAATCAGCTTCAAGTTTGAATTCTATGTTAAGGTGACGTGACACGCAAGTCAATTTAATATTTTTGCACGAAACTCTTCAAACTGTTAAGTTTCAGACCAAATATAACTGACTTTTGCCTGATGAAATTACTAATTGCCGAAGCAAATTTTGTCTCAGAAACATTGGCAAATGTAGTACGTTATATATATGAAAATAAAATAACAACCATTCCCTCCCCTACTCCAGTACGCAACAATTTCCCAATATTCTGGCGATCATTACTCTGTCCTCTAATCTTGTAGTTCTCTCGGTTGTCTCCTATTTCCACCAAATGGGGTATTCTTTTAGGATTTGTCTTATATCATACTTAATAGTATAAATTAGCATTTTTACAAATTAGTATAATTTAATTTGTTGTAAAATGGTACTGCCTCGGGTTATAACTCACTGAATATGGATAGTTATCTTTAATTATACATGACAGCGTGCAAAAATTATATACTATCAGTATATAAAAATTTAATTTATTAAGTACTACTTTTTACTTAATGAGGGGTAGACTTACCACTTGTGTGTTGCCCTCATTTTCTTAATCACGTTTGTGAACACAAACCCATAATTTCGTGTGAGCTGATTCAACTAAATTGCGGCACAACCGTGGCTGCAAAGTCACGTTCAATAGAGCACTGAGCACAGTTTGCCGCCTCCTTTTGGACAAAGACCGTACCTAATTTGGATTTAAGTTTTTTATTAAAAACAATTGCTCCCAAATTACATAAGTCCAAGCACATCATCGGGATTAGATTAGTTGAACTTTGCAAAATGAGTCAAATTTAAGCTCAATAGAGTTAAACTATATGCCAAGTGAGCTGGTGTGCCAAATCAAAATAAAAGCAAACTCTTTTTAAAAGAAAAGGTAAAGAGCGTGGAAATATTGTGATTAAGGCTTGAACAACAAATAATATGTCAAATCACGTGACATGCAAAGGCAAAGTAATAGACATGAAAGCTTGAACACCAAGGCCTTTCATATCGTTAAAAAAAGTTAGAGTGGAAATATTGTGATAATAAATTTGTTCATAAAAACTCCCTTGACCCCTATACAACAATGTTCTATTGCTGAATCTTCATAATTAATATACACATATTTAACTTTCCTACGGTAATTGAAATATATAACTAGTATTAATAACTTTTTAGATAAAATTGGTTCAACTGAATGCATAAGACTGTGAAAAAAATTGCTCAAACACAAATTAGTTCTCTTTTAACAAGGCTAATATGAAGATTAATTGAGGAAGTGAGACAAAGTAAATTCTTTAGAAATAAAACCTAATCAAACTTTTAATTAAGTTGAAACATGAATGCCTATTGGTACAATTCACATGTTAAGACACCCAAACGGCGCCGCCTCTACATGACCCAAAGACTTGAAGGGGAAAGCAAAAGGAAAAAGGGGGACACAAACTTAAAAGGACCGTTTGGCCATAGGTTTTGCCAAAATAAACTTGAGTTTTATTTGACAAATACAGATTTGGGCATAGATTTTATTTATATTTTGGCCAAATTTCAAATCCCAAAACCAGCTCAATAGCTGGTTTTGGGCCAAACCCCTAATAATACACATGTTTTTCCAAAATAAATTTAGAAAATATATTTTGAAAACGTATGTCCAAACACATTTTCATCTCCAAGCCAAACTTCACCTAAAACAGATTTTTCAAAATAAATTTGTGAATCTATGACCAAACGCTAGCTTAGCTGACTTACAGTTGGGAAAATTAATAAGTTAAGTTATCCAAAAATTTTGTTGCCCTGTCATTCCTATCCACTCTTCTATTGCCAACTGTACACTCTCTTTTCCCCTCACGTGTCACCTTTCTCCCCAAACCCTACTACTTCCCTCCTTTTATCACATTGGTCCAGCCCCCGGTAATTAAACCCAAGACTTCTTATATCCCATTTTATTATACTTCTTCGTTTCAATTTATCTGAACCTATTTTTTTTTAATTCGTACAAAAAAAATAACTTCTTTCCTTATTTGAAAATAATTTACTATTATATAATAATTTATAACCACATAAAATATATATACCTTATTTTAGGACACAAATTCAAAAATTTAAGTAAAATATACAGGAGTAACACACTAGCAAGTCTTTGTTTAAAAAGGAAAATAGTTAAGACAAAAACTGACTTCCTTGTTCCTGTTTCCCCCCTGTATGAAACTGCAACTACTTTCTTCTTCTTCTTCTTCTTCTTTTTGTCACAGTGTTCTGTTCAGACCCAAGAACCAAGATTATTAGGACAACCTTAACCCTACTAAAGTTTCTTTAATCTCCTGAGGGAGCACTTGTTTACCAACAAGCAGAAGAAGAAAACGTGAAACCAAAAAAGTAAAGTTAAAAAATCAAAACTTTAGCCGACTTGGAACCTCCTTGTTCCACCTCACATCCCCCTCTTCCAATACGGCCCAGGTCAGCTCCCCCCACCACCTCTTCTTTCTTTGTTTTGTTTCTTACTTCCTAATTTGGTATGGATTATTTGCCTTTGTGTTTGCACGCGCCTTAACATGCTAATACTCCACACACACACACACAGAGACAGACAACTACAAGAGAATTAACTAAGACATGATTTGTTTGTTGTTATTTTTTTAATCCTGTTTTAAAATTTTGAACTTTGGGATCTCTCTTTTAGTCTTTAGCGGTTTCCTTTTGGTTTGTGTACTCGGTCTCTGTCATGTTTGAAATTGAGCTTTACTTCTGTCTTTTGAGCTTAATAATCAATCTAGCAAGTCCCAAAAGGTTTCTTGGAAGACAAATTCTTGCAACTAAGTTGTTCAATTGACAAAAGAAAAACCCAATTCTTTGCCCAGTTTTGTATTAGTATGAATTAATTGCCTTTGATTTAAATCTTTTCTTGCTTTCTGGTAGTGGAATTATTCTATCTGGTTTTAAGTGAACTTTCCAAATTTCTCTCTTTCTCCCTTATTTTCTTTGGTACATGTTAGTATGTTACAGATGAGAATTATTTCTAATTAGGGGTGGGCGGTCTCCGACTTCTTTGTTCTATTAACCCTAGAGCTCTATAGTCCTATAGAGAGGACACTTCAACCTGAAATATTGTGCCTAAAGATGGTGTACATAGATGTTGGCAATATTCTTTAAGTAAAAACACCAACTATATATTTTATTGTAAGATTTAACATTAACAAATATTTATGGTGCAATTTGGTCTTCATGGTAAACCATTGTATTTGGTGCAATTGGTCTTCATGGAAGTGATGTTGAACCCAAGAAAAGTATGGACTAGAGACCATTAAGAAAGACTTGACCTTTTGGATTAATGGATGACATTATTTATATTTTGAAATTTAATTATATAGGAACTAGAATTTGAAGTTCATGGTTTCTGAACATACCTCTGAACTCATAGCACCTTTTAGCTATGGTGTTCGCAATTAAATATTTATACACATATAATGATTTTCCTAATACAAGTATGTGGTCGAAGCAAAAGCTACTGGGTTTTCAGAACCTGTAGCTAATATTATAGCTCCGCCCTTGTATATAGTCATGGAAAGGATTTTCCTTTTCTTGATAATCTATTAGTCTACAATGTTTTCTTTGGAAACGTACCAGATAGCAATTTCTTTAAGAAAATACATTAATATTTTTTGGTAAGATTTATTTGTTTGAAATGAGTACTTGCCTTATGTACATCCCTCTAGAATTGTGCTTCAATTTCTCTATATTCAGCGTAACACAGATTGCACCGTAAATTTAAAAGATTGCTTTGCATGAATTTGTAAATTATTTAATCTTTGATGGCTTTACAGCTTCTTTCATCCTTTTGATGATACAGTTCAATGGTTTTTGTGTAAACCAAAAAAGAGGAAATATGACATTTGTTTCTCATTGTTATATTATGCATGGTAAGATGATTTGTTCTTAGGCAGGAGGTTTTATGACCTAGTTTACACCGATATATTTACAAGTATAATTTTTTAAGCCCTCTATTTACATCAACTCAACCGTAACTAATGTGGATTTGAGGCACAGTGATCTCTATGCTTATCAGAAAAGCAACAAATTGTATACTTGTTCCTATGACAGTGACCGCATAATCTCTATAGGTGGAAAATGGTAGGAGTTCTAACTTCTACTTATCCAAAAAAAAGAAAGTGGAAGAGTTCTAATTTCTTTTCCCTATTTATGATCTATCTAGCGTTTATTCGAGTACACCATTTCTGAACTATTCACGTGGATACCCGAGTATACAATCAATTGACCCAATGGGAGCTGGGGAAGAGAGCACCCCTACAAAGCCTTCAAAACCGGCTTCAACTCAGGTCCCTTTCCTTCTCTTTCTTTTCTTTTGTACATTTACGGCTAATAAGTCATTAAACATGTGCTGTTCTCTCTCTTCCTCTCTCTCTCTCTCTGTATGTGTATGTGTGTGTGCACAGATGTGTTAATGTATGTATTGGCTCACTGCTAACAAGTTTTCTAATGTTTGATCAGGAGACACAAACTACACCCTCATATCCTGATTGGTCAAGCTCTATGCAGGTTGATATTAAGTTCCATAATGATTAAGCCAATAACATGAATGCTGATGAATAATTGTTCTAGTTTTCTAGTCTATCAAGTACTAATTCTCTTTTCCTGGTTAGGCTTATTATAGCGCTGGAGCTACTCCTCCCTTCTTTGCCTCACCTGTTGCTTCTCCTGCTCCCCACCCATACTTATGGGGAGGCCAGGTAATTGATTTTCCATTCTTAATTTATTTAGTTTCCTGCTTTACGATTTTTCTATCACATGATCTCAGAACCTATCTATAGTACTTTCTCTGATCACCTTGTGATATTTCAGCATCCTCTTATGCCTCCTTATGGGACTCCAGTCCCATATCCAGCTTTATATCCTCCTGCCGGAGTTTATGCTCATCCTAACATGGCCGCGGTAATCAAGCTTGTCGGTACTTTGTTCTTATGAATTTGAAAGCTGTGAAAGGAAGTTACCTCTTCTTCAAAAAATAAAAAATACAAAAAAGAAGTTTTTGTTAATACCTTTGTTCATGTTTTTTCAGCAGACTCCAAACACAGTGCAGGCAAACCTTGAATCAAACGGGAAGGATCCTGAAGGAAAGGATCGGAGTACAAACAAAAAGTTAAAGGCCAGTTCTGGTGGCAAGGCGGGCGACGGCGGGAAAGTTGCTTCAGGTTCTGGAAATGATGGTGCCACACAAAGGTCTGATTTTGTATCACATTTTCCATAAATTCTTCTTTTTTGATCAGTCATGCATCTAAGTGGAATATATTTTCTTGAACAGTGATGACAGCAGAAGTGAAGGTACATCAGATACAAATGATGAAAATGATAACCACGTGAGTATTCAGATCAATCTAACCACCTTTTTTCTTTATTTACATACTATGGAGATCGCGAGTCCTATGATTGCTAGTTGATTTTTTTTTTTGATAATATGTAATCTCAGGAATTTGCTGCAAGCAAGAAGGGAAGCTTTGATCAAATGCTTGCCGATGGTAACTTCTGTGACCTTTCTTCTCGGTTCTGACATTCTTACTTTCAATAACCGAGTTTCTAAATCTGGCGATTATCAGGAGCCAGTGCGCAGAATAATCCCACAACAGCGAATTACCAGACCTCTATGCATGCAAATCCTGTCACTGTGCATGCAACTAACCTAAATATTGGAATGGATGTGTGGAATGCATCATCTGCCGGTCCTGGAGCGATCATAATACAGCCAAATGTGAATGGTCCAGTTATAGGACATGAAGGAAGGATGAATGATCAATGGGTTCAGGTACATTTTCTTTTCTTTAGCTTTTTTCACTCACTGAAATCAGTACTGTCATTTTTGACCAGATTAGTTTGTGTACTCTGTACTTCAAATTCTCCAGTCTAACTGCTTGTCTGTAAAAAGCTGCATATATTCCACCCATCTGGTAGCAGATGGTATCACTTAAGGTGGAATATTTTCTCTCATAACCCTAATTGTCGGTGTATCTTGAGTCTTAACATAGAGAGTTCCATGAATAGATGTAAAATAAGTGGCTAAAAAGACTAATTTGTGAATTTTTTAGTTTCACAATTGTGAGCGAAGAAAGATCACAACCTGGAGAACTCTTAAAAGCACTCAACACTCTGATTTTACAAGGCTTCAGGTGTTTTAATTTGGTGGGTCCAGAAACAGCTCCAACTTAAAATAAGCCAGAAAACTCCTGAAGCTATGCTGGTTTCATTCTTTATGGGTTAAAATTACCTGTTTGTAGGATTCGATTTTCTTATCAAGTTTTTTGCATTAAAATTATTTAAACCTTCATATAGTTTGAAAGGGATTATAAAACTGAACTTCCTTGTATCATTAGTTCTTGAACATGGTTCCATCTCATTTTTTCTGTATCTCTGGATATAGCAGCATCTTGTGCTTGTTTGAAGTTCATGGTTCTACTTTATAACACCGCCGCTGCCACCCCCCAAAAAACTTTCATGGATCTTTCAGGTAGAGCAGTAAATTATGTAAGACACAAAAGGCACTTTTCCATATTCCATAGGTCGATAGTTCCCGTTCGTTTTTTATGTGCCAGAGCAAGTACACAATCAATGATGGGGTTATAGCCCTGTTATCATCGTTTTTCTGTTTCTTTTTGTTGATAGATTTCGTTGTAACCCTCGCTTTGACAGGACGAACGTGAACTTAAAAGACAAAAGAGAAAGCAATCTAATAGGGAGTCAGCTAGGAGGTCAAGGCTACGCAAGCAGGTATGAGTTACTCTTTGTAGATAATGTTACTCTTTCCGTCTTTTACCAGTCAGAATTGAGTATATGTCTTCTATTATATGAGCCATATAGATTCTTCTCCACATGGCTTTAGACTCAGACATCTGGTTTCAAGCAGAGGTCCCCAAATTTATTTCTAATAATAAATAAAAGCAGCTCTTAAAGACAATGATGGGGTCTATAGTCTCTACACCAATATAAAGCCTTAAGATTATTCTGTTTTACGCATCCAAGAGTGACCTAGTGGTCAATAAAGTGGGGTGAGAACATGAGGTCTCAGGTTCAAAACCTAGCGGATGCACAAATACAAGGTAATTTCATCCCATCTATCCAAACCTTGGTGGATGGAGTTACCTGGTACCTGTTGCTGGTGGGAGGTGACAGGTATCCCGTGGAATTAGTCGAGGTTCGTACAAGTTGGCCCTGACATCACGGTTATTTAAAAAAAAAGATCATTCTGTTTTACGCCATCATATGGCACACTGATCTTTTTGCATTTTCGTCTAGCCACATTAACTTAGACTGATGCTTCAAGTTCCTTGTTTCAACCAAATCATTAATATCTTATGATGATGAATTTTTCTAGTTGATTGAAACACATTGTGTCACCTTTATGAAATGGTCTCCGGTATAAATAAGAATCGGGAATGCAATTCGATGTGATATCGGCATATCATGCTCTAATCTGCAGATAGTGTTTTAAGGCCCTAGTAACTGTAACGTTCTTTAGTGTTTTCTCTTTTCCTCTGAAAGAACAAAATCTGGTGTCTCTATTATTTCAATTCGTGAAGACAATGTAAAGCACAGCAACAACAACAACAACAACAACCCAGTATAATCCCATTAGTGGGGTTTGGGGAGGGTAGTGTGTACGCAGACCTTGGTTTGGGGAGGGTAGTGTGAACGCAGACCTTACCCCTACCCTGAGGTAGGGAGGCTGTTTCCGATAGACCCTCGGCTCCCTCCCTCCAAGAACTCCCCACCTTGCTCTTGGGGTGACTCGAACTCACAACCTCTTGATTGGAAGTGGAAGGTGCTCACCACTAGAGCGACCCACTCTTGTCGAAGACAATGTAAAGCACATGTGAGAAAATTTCTTCGAGTTGTAGAAGACAAATTAACGGATGGTATGTACCAAAAATGGAATATAATGTGAAAAAGCAACAGGAGATGCATTCATATCAAATGTCACGTAATACAAACCACTTATAGACGGTCTCCCTTAAATCACCATCCTCTTGAAGGCTGATTACCTGTTCTCAAAAGTAAGTCTGTCCCAACTATGTCTAACCCTTTCCAAAGAGAATCTTATATCAAATCCTAGTTCAATCTCTTTTATGGACCCTTAGTCAATACTTGGGGGTCGTTTGGTACGCGGGATAAGGTGGAATAAAGTATTGTACTAAATTTATACCATATTTGGTTGATGGTATAAATTTATTCCGGGATAAAATTATACCGTAAACGAAACATGGTATAAACTTAGTCCCAGACTTAATCCTGGATATCCCATCTTATCCCACCTTATCCCATCAAATTTGGTATTATTTTATCCCACCTCCCAGGTAGGATAAATTAGTCTAGGGATTATAGTCCCAGGATTATAATCCCGGAATAAGTTAGTCCGCGTACCAAACGATCTCTTAATATTCTTGTCCTCTCACCTTATAGACTTAATTGTTAATTATAACTACTGACCCTTTTGTGAAACTGTTCCGTAATCTTCCTAGCTAAGACATATTATGTCAACGTAGGGAGTAATAAATACTCGTATATTTGAGAGACATGGTTGGGTAAATGTAGCCACTAATGTAAAATATACTCTCCTTTACCTATCAGTTACGCTCTTGAAAATACCTTTTAGCCCTTGAGCTCCTGGAAAGGCAATTGTTCTAGGCAAAACAGCTCGAACCAGAAAACTATTTAGTGACAAATAAAAACATATATGACCATGAATCTTGATGGGCTTAATTGAATAGGAAGTGGATAACTGGATAGAAGTGTAAATACCCATTATTATTTCTCATGTCATTGGGGATCGATGCATAACCTAAGTGTATCCACTCAAAAGGAGAAAGATAAAGAAGAAAAAATTCACCCAGATGCAGTAGTCAGCTACTGTTCTCCTAATGATAGTTATTAGTTAAATTAAATGGTGACATGAAGCGATGGGAAGCGTCATCAAATTAATGCCAAGAAACGAAGGAATTGGCTGCTTTCCATTTTAGGAGTTCATCTTACTGCATGTGGACTTTTTCTGTCCTTGTATATGACGTCAGTTTAGAAAGGAGTTACAACTGGTGACTAAGTGTAAAAATTCTTCCCGTGCACATCAAGCTTGTACCTCAGCCGACACAAAAACATGATACTCTTTTCCATTCATGTCACAACAGCAACCAGAATTCCAGCAGGATAGCAAACAAGCTGATTTTAGTTCTTAATAATGTTCATGGGCGGTTTGATTGTTTGCTTGCTCCAATTTCTGGAATCCAAAATGTACTCAAAATTTCCTTTAGATTTTCTGGCAGTCATGTTGTTTTCTGTTTCTTATTTTTGCAGGCTGAGTGTGAAGAGCTGCAGCGTAGGGTAGAAGCTTTGAGCAGCGAGAATCATTCACTCAAAGATGAGCTCCAACGGCTCTCTGAGGAATGTGAGAAGCTTACCTCAGAGAATAGTTTGATAAAGGTACTTAATACCTTGTTAAGTGTTCCTCTAATTGCTTATCCTCCTTGATATTTGGTAATATTCTCAAGTACCCTCTTCATGTCATCCCCTTTTTCCTTTCCCTCATTTACCTTTGCACTTTATAGGGATAGTGTGATGCTGCTTCACGAATAGCATTTTGTTATAACTAATGTGAGGCAATTAGTATCGTAGAATCTTGTTTTGTAGTGCTACTTTTTTTCCCTTGCAAAGGATTTCTTTTTAACCTGACGAAGCAGTTGTGAAGGAGAAAGATGAAATTAAAGTACTGATATTTGCTGGAATATGGTGGTAAAACAGGAAGAGTTAACGCGTTTATGTGGGCCAGATGCTGTGTCTAAGCTAGAGAGCAACGGCAATGCCACTCATGAGGAAGCTAGTTAAGGAAAAGCCAGACACTGAGTAGTAGGTGATTTAAGTGCTCACAAATATTTCAGGAGCCAAAAGAATTCATTGCTTCTAGGTGCAGAAATGTTTGTTGTCCTACTAACCTATACCTTTAACCCTTTTTGAGTGTGACTAAAACATTTATTTTCTAATTGTAACCCCAGTGTTCTGTGCTCTTGTTAAATTACCTGGAAGAAGTCAGTGCACCATTGAGTACTGTTTCATTTTCATTGGATATTTTTAAAGTTTCTTGCATTGAATGTGGATGAGATTTTGGCAGGGAATATCTTTGAAATATGAGAAAAATAGCAAATTATTTTTTAATTCTAAACTAACTAGAGTTGGTTATATAAATTTTATATTGTCATTTTCTTCAACTCGGAGTCTATTTACATGAGATAAGAATACTTTTGGTATATGTTTTTTTTTTTTGGGAGGGGGGAATGTCTACGGCAAGCAGTACTCCCTCCGTCTTAAATTATCTGTCATGATTTCTAAAAATAATTGTCTAAAATTATTATTTGTCATTTTTAAAGTTTAAGATAAAATAAATTATATTTTTTCCATTTTACCCTTAACATTAATTGTTATTGAAGATGTAGATAGTACTTAAATAGAGTAAATATTCAATGAAGAGAGATTATATTTTAAAATATAAATAAGGGTAAAATAGTCCAAGCTCGTTCTAATTAATTTTTTCTTAAGGAGCGTGTAAAAGAGAAACACGACAATAATCTGAGGCAGAGGGAGTAATTGGTCATTACTTGTTATAATGGTTAAATTAATAGTGTAAATTATTTTCATATCGGTACATATTTAACTTAAACCTTCTGGTAATACTTTAAAATACTGTTTACGACTTTATGTAATTGTCTGCAATATTTTTTAGATGACTAAGCTCCCGTTTAGCCATATATTTTGTCTTTATTTTTTTTTAAAAATTGAAAATATTGTTTGTTTATGAAATATGATCATGTTTTGAGACAAGAAATTTCAAAAATTCCCAAGTTCCCAAAAACTGTCAGTTTTTGGGTGAAATTTTTTCTTCCACTCATAAAACTTAACTTTTCTTCAAATAAAATGTATGTCCAAACAACTTCAACTTTCAAAAATTATTTTTCAACACAACTTCAAAAACTCTTTTTTCAAGTTACAATCAAATCTATGTCCAAACGCTAACTTATTATGTTGTAATACCATACTGCTTCAGTGCTTCTCCTAGACTTAATTATTCCTTCGCTAGAACTCATCCAGTCAAAGTAACTAAAAATTTCGGATTGAAGTAATAAAATTATTGAATTATTAAAACTATTTTGATATTTTTATTTTTATTTTTTAGCCAGAGAGTATTTGTGAACTCATACGACTTTCATTTTTTCATTTTTTGGTTTGAATTGTTTGTTGATTGAATTATTACTAGTCGGCAGCTAGTTTATCGAATCTACCCGATTTGACTATACATAGGTTTAACTTTATCTTTTAATGAAATTTCTCGGAATAATTCACAAGTCACAATCCTATTACTCCTAATTGAACATGACGATGTTTTTTTCATGGAAAAGAACAAACATGGTGATGCGCAGGGAAATTTCTTTGAAATTAACAGCGAAAAAGTTACACATTGCATTTATCCACTAATTAGAGAGACCAACCTGACACTCGAAATTAAGCTACAAAATTACAAAAAAAGATAGTACCAACACAATTGAAAAAAACAAAAAAGCAAAAAAAAAAAAACATGCTTCTTAAAGTTTCTTTTGAGTTTTATCTGTTGTTATGCTACCCCCACCCCTAAAACTAAAACCATATAGCTAAAGATTGAAATCACTGCTATTATTACAACTAGTTTAGGGTTAGTAGTTTTTATTATTAACACCTCCAAGCTGACGTGGCTACTAGGGCCCTATCATGCCAGCACAGCAACATCTCCGCTTGTCTCTTCGCCACGTGGAATCCCCTAACCTGTACTCTCCCCAACAAACAATCCGCTTGAAAATCCGCAAACTGGCTTAATCCCACCGGCCGGAATCCGGCAGCCACCATCGCATCCTTCCACGAGCCACCTCCTCGCCGCCCTACTGCCGCCACCATCTCCACTATCTTCGGAAACAGCACGAAATTCTCAATTTTCCTCATCCAATCCCCACAATTCCCGCCACCGATATTTGCTGCTTCTAGTGATTCCAGCAACGTAGAGTAAAATTCCAACCCATCAATCACCGTCTGACGAAACGACGCGGTTCCGTAACCCATCAGCCCTTCGCTGTCCACGTGTACCACCATGTTAGGGGAAATACGACGGAGGTCGTTAACAAACCCTGACCCGATCCGCCGGAAGATAGCGGGGGATAAAAGCACCGCTGTCTTCTCCCCGTCCATGAACTTTATTGCTTTGAAGGATAACAACTCGAAAGTTCGAATTAGAACAAAATCTATTTCGAAACCGATATTGAGTTCACGAGCAAATTGTGTTAAATTTTCTCTGATTAACCTCGATTCCACAGCGTACTCTTCAGGGACTAGAGCCGTAATTCGAAGAACCGGCGCGTTGGCTTTACGACACTCGGCTTTATCGGCTAACTCTTTCATGAAGGAAGCCCAGTGGCCTCCGAGTCCGATGTCGAAGTCGATGACGTGGACTAGCATCGAGCCGTCGACTGCCTCGAGTACGGCTTGGTTCGCCGTGAAGCTGGAGAACATAGGGATTGGAGATATGTTTGAGAAAATTTTGTAGGATTTGATGGTCTGAATCACGTCGGATGAGCTGGCAGGGCGAGTCTGTCGAGTTGACCCGGCGAGTTGGGCTTGAAGTGCTTCCTTGAAGTAAAAGGCAGCTCGTTGAAGAGGTTTTCCGGCGGCGGATCTGAGCCGTTGATTGAGCCGTGCCAGTATCACATGTGCGAGCTGGAAAGCGTTGGTTTCGAAACATTCAGTGAAACGAATGAGCTCATCCACGTAATCAAATCCTACGTTCCAATTATTCTGGTGGATATCACCGGAGAGATCAAGGGCGTTAATGTAATTTCCCTGATTCACCGATTGAAATTGCTGAGGGAAATTCTCGGAGAAAGAAAAATCAGATGTAGGGAACTGAGTCGAGTCAGCTGAGAATTCGGAGAGGTTATGGAACTGAGTCAGCGACTCGCTTTGTGTAAGGCTGAGTTGAGGGTTAGATTTTGAAAGTGAAGCAGAATCGTCTTGTAACCCAAGTTCTCTCATCAAAGAATCCCAATCTTCGAAGTTGCTCAGAACATGATCTCCTAGCTGGAGAGGATCGTCGCCGCCGCAAAGGGCGGAGAAATCGGGATTTGTTATCACCTGCTTCTCGACGATAGGGCTGGGGCTGCGGCGGAGTTCGAGGACTGATTTGGGCTCGTAGCACAAGTTAGGGCCGTTGGTGGCGGCCGGAAAAGTAGCGTTCTGGAGATTGTTGTTGTTGTTATTGCTAATCAATGGTTTTGAACTCACGTTGTCATTAGAGGAAAAGGGCACTTTCATTTCTCTGAAAAAAGAGAGAAGATTATTGGTAACCGTAGCCAAAGTCTCTAAAGACTATGTAACTAACAGGTGAGTGAATTATTTTTTGCGCGAGTGTTTGTAGTGCGTATGGTTTGTAGTTGCTTTAATAGAAGAAGACTTTGTGTGGGGTGTGTTCTTTTTAGCTTTCCCTTCTACTTTCTTCAATGGCTCTGAAAACTTTGAGAGAAAATGGAGGCTTTTTGGGAGGATGATGATTGCTGCCTTTTTATCTTTGCGTGCGTGCGGGCCTAATTGCATGCATGGGATTCAAGTTGCCTTTAATAGTGGCCGATCAAAATTTTTTACCAAGAGGTATTAAAATATAAACAGGTAAAAAGGGCCGAGACAAAATATAGTACTAATATATAATTTTAATATTTTTTATTTAATTATATAGTGTAATTTTCTGAACGAAAGGATGTCATTTGACACATCTTTTGATAAGGTGGCTCCGCCAGTAATCAAGGGATGGGTATGATTTAATGCATAGCATGCATGTATGTGTTGTAGGGATAGGAACATGCAGGACACGAGTCTCAAGTGATTGATTTATCTTTTTGTAAGATTAGAGGTGTGTATGTGAAGTCTTTATTTTTGTACTTGAAAGAAAGAAAGGGAAAAAGAAGGCTTTTCTATTCTTTTCCAAACACTTTATTAGTATTTCTTACGTTCAATTTTCCCATACCAATCTAATTACTGGTTAGCATGTCTTCAGATTTAATGTGTTGTCCTTCCTTTAACTAATTCAAAGTACGTAGTTATTCTTTTTTATTTATTTATTTATATATGTGTAAGTGTGCAAGTTAATTAAGTAAAGAGGTCAAACAAGAAAAACGAATACAATGCATAGTTGTTGAAACAAGATAGCAGCTCTTTCTCAGTAAAGTTATAGTATTATTTTTCACTTCTTAGTTAACTAATCCATTTCAAAGTTATTACAAGTCTTCCTAAAGTTATTACTCGACTATATATTCAAAGTATTATATTACAACAATCTGTTCAAAAGTATTGCGCTGCTTTCTGCTCTTCCTTTCTTAAAGCCAATAGCACGGAAATTCGATTGATGCGAAATAGTTAATATACAGACCTTCTCAGAAGAAAATAGTTGAGTAATTAAGCTAAGGTAGCATTAAGTGATGATTAATTAACTTCCGGTTTTTATTTGAGCTGCATTTTTTATCTAGCGGTAGGTTAAATCAATTCAGTTATTACCACGGAACTTAAAGCTACAAAATTATTGTCACATTAAAGTAATTAAATTATATGTGAATTGTTCAAGATATACAATAATCAGAAGGTCCTATTTTTCGCACTAGGTTATGACACGAATAAACGCCACGCTAACCTTTGTTACTCTAAAATTCCACCTAAAATAATAAAAAATAAAAGGTTGTCTACCATATATACTTTAAACAAAAAAACATTTATAAACAAAAAATGAAAATCGAATATAGTTTAGAGGTAGGGTTTCGAGAACATATATATTAAGCTTTGATAAGAGCTCCTACGATACTGGAAAATCGAATATTCAAGGAACGAAGGCAGTATATGTGTAGTGCATATTGACAAATTAACATGATGCTTCGTTACACTTTTGTATCTTGTGGTAGTATTTTTCAAAGTTCAGTCGTATTTTTCTTGACGCTCTGATCATGTTTATAAATGAACCTAGAAACTAAAAAAAAAGGCAGTAGTTGTAAATAGTGTATGGATGGATT